TAGAGTTGGCATTCTGTGAACTCATGCAGAGAGGCATAAATTGCTTAAGATACAGCTTTTTTAAGGTGGAAGAGTGAAATGCATGCCTTGTTTTAATTTGGGGAGAAAATGGAGTTTCGTTCAGCTACTGGGACTATAGAAATTCACGCCACGGTTGTTTTGCATGGACTTTGATCCGCATGGAGTGCACGCTTGTGTATTTACATTGCATAGACCAGTGTTCCTCAACCTTAACAACTTTAAGATGAGTGGACTTCATCTCCCAGAATCCCCTCATCTTAAAGTTGCCAAGGTTGAGAAACACTGCCTTAGATAAAGACTAAGCTAGTCCTGCAGTTTCTTAAAAAAAATAAAAGTGGAAGCTTGGCCATGCTTAGTCTATATCAGTATTTCTCAACCTTGGCAACTTTAAGATGAGGGGATTCTGGGAGATGAAGTCCACTCATCTTAAAGTTGTTAAGGTTGAGGAACACTGGTCTATGCAATGTAAATACACAAGCGTGCACTCCATGCGGATCAAAGTCCATGCAAAACAACCGTGGCGTGAATTTCTATAGTCCCAGTAGCTGAACGAAACTCCATTTTCTCCCCAAATTAAAACAAGGCATGCATTTCACTCTTCCACCTTAAAAAAGCTGTATCTTAAGCAATTTATGCCTCTCTGCATGAGTTCACAGAATGCCAACTCTAGGGATTACAGCTTCTGTAACCAGAACTGATAAAATTTTCTAATCACCCAGCAACCCAGAGGCACAAATAAATTACTGTAACTCCCTCGCAGGCACAGGATGATTAGGAATAGACAAGTTTGGAGAAATGAATCATTAATGCAACTTCCACTTTTGAAGGCTGGCAATTTTGCTGCATTCATGCACTAACTAGGAATTACCCTGACTCACCTAAACAGAAAGCCGATAGATCTACTTTCTACTTACCTGTTTCCACTGAATGGAAATAGGTAAGACCAATCACCTTACAGGTGTTTGGACTTCAGTATTAGGAAAGATTTGTTGCATTTCTGCCGCTAGAGCAATTCTGATCACATCAGATGCAGAGACTACAGAATTACACTGATTGGAAGTAGACAAGGCCAGAACACTTTATCATACAGAGATGCAGTAATGCACCTCTTCTGTATACTGGTAATTCTGCTATGCTTCTACATTAGGAATGACTGTGGAGATTTGAGGGAATAACTTGCCTTTAAGTGAAGCAATTGGAAAGAAGCACAGGTAGAACGCAAATTCCAGCAGAACCATTAGCCGGCCGAGAGGAAAGAAACAGCAGGATGTGTGAATGTTTAACCATATTGCCATAACAGTGTGTGTGAATGTTTAACCATATTGAAGTTCCTCCAATTATTTAAAAAACTAAGCCACAAAATGAGCTATTGCAGCAAAAAACAATTTTAGCAAGTCTTGACATCTTTGCAAACATCAAAGAGGAAACCAAATCAAATTGCTTTCTTGATCAAGCTTCTAGGATCTCTCTGGGCTTCAAGTTTCCCAGTGTGTCTATGCATGCATGCTGAGGGTGGAATGGGGTAGGGATTGTGATCCCACAGGTATTCTTCAAAATTAAAATGTAATTTATTTTAATTGTTAATGGGCTCAGATGTATCTCTAGCTGGTGATGAGGAACATACAGAAGGAGAGGAGGAGGAAGGAACTTCTGCATGGGGATAGTTAGTAGAGGGGTGAGGAAATCCTTAGTAAATTGTACACAGAGCTGTAGTTTTGTCTCAGAATGCAGACTTGAAGGGCAGAAAGTCCCAGGTTCATTTCCCAGTGAAAAGGAACTCAGGTGTCAGAGCTGAAAAGGATATCAGAAAGCAGCTGCCGGCCAGCTGGATGTTGATAATCTGCTTCAGCATAAAGCATGTTGCTTAGCTCTGGGGAGAGCTCACAGCTAGTGGGACGGTATGTGTTCTGCCTGCAGACTATCCCAGAACGAGTCAGAAAGGCTTTTCTAACCCTTTCTGCTGCTAAGAGGAGACTATATAGTAGCACAATGGAGCTTGCCCAAAAAACCTTCTTTCTTTCAGCAGTATAATTTAGGAGAACAGAACGTTATGTTACTCTGTTTGGTCCCTGGCCTACTGCACATTGCCCCAAATATAGCTGTTATTCCATTCAGTGTTCTGTGGAGTCCTTGGGGTTCTCAGAGAACCCCAAGGACTCCACAGTTCAACCGTGAGCTACACATATTCACCAGCGATTCTCTGCAGTTTTCTAGAATAGCAAGGAAAGATAATTTCTATTCTACTAGCTGAGGTCTTTCAGAACTAGAGAACTCAATTTACAGGAGTAACTGAATTACAAATACAATTACATTTCAATTTAATTTGAAATACATAAGTAAAACACACACATGCATATTTTATAAGAGCCGATGTGAGTGTCGTGGTTACAGGGATGAACTAGGAGCAGGGAGACCCAGGTTCTTGTCTTCTCTTAGTCATGAAAACTGGCTGAGTGACTTTGGGACAGACCCTCTTTTAACTGAAGTTTATCTGCTTTCTTTGGGGTGTCATTATTTTCTTTTAAAGAATTTTAGGGCAGTCCCACAGATTTTGCATGGTTCTGATTTGCTGTAATATCTTGGAAACATTTTCCAAGCCGGCCTGAGGATTCAGATTGAAAGATGGAATATAAATCCGTCAAATAAATTAACATTAAATTAATGAAACAGATAACTTTCCTCTCCTCCAATCCAGTGATTGTGTTGAGGAAAAAAATACATCAAAAGATACACGTTATTTTTATGTATTTACTGAAACAAAATACAATATTTACTTAATGCTCTAAATAAAAACTTGGAGCAAAACATCTGTTGTTTTAAGGCACGATGGTGTTTTATACATGCCCAGGCTAGAACTTTGGCAAACCTCTAACACAGTGTTTCACAACCTTAGCAACTTTAAGATGTGTGGACCAACTCCCAGAATGCCCCAGCCAGCCATGCTGGCTGGGGAATTCTGGGAGTTGAAGTCCAGACATCTTAAAGTTGCCAAGGTTGAGAAACACTGCTCTAATATGAGGTGGTTCCAGAGTTAGGAAACAGCCAATGAGAATATCTCCATCCTTTTGATTGGAGGGCCTTCTCATAAATATGGACTTCTAGCAGACCATAGTGCAGCTTATATACAGATATTCTCGTAATTAGTTTACTGTGGCCATAGACATCAAAAATTAGGGACTTTATCTTTGCAGAAGCAGACAGATCAGAGTGGAGTATCATGGAGAAGAAACAGGATGAGTTTCAGGTTTGAGAAGGCTCTTCTTTCAATGGGAGCTGGTGAGCTTATCCACTGTCGGCACAGAGCAATGCTTTGAGGATTTCCAGGGACTGGATCTAATGGCTTGTTAACTTTTCTATAATGCTCTGGAATGATGCTTCCAGAGCACCTTCTGTGAAAGATCTAGTTTGGAGCATTAGGTTGGGAATTTCTGGGGAGAAGCCCAATCTCATCTCACCAGGACCAGGGCATCAGTCTCACGGGGACTGGTAGAAGACGAAGAGGGATTGTGTAGTCCGTGTATAAGTATTCTTGTAGTTCCTGGCTGGAGCAAATTAATCACAGTTGTTTCAAGAGCACAGGTCCTGCCGATCCTCTCCTCATCTGAGGTTCTTCTCATAAATATAAGACCTGCCCACCATCTCAGGATTGCAGTGCACATACAGCCACACGTTGCTATATTGCCAGCAATTGCTCAATCCGAATTTATGTGTCAACTGCTGGGAACCCTAGGCAGTTCAGCTTCTACAAACAGAAATGTCACGCAACCATATTCGAGGTCTCTACAGAAAGACATAGAGCATCCTGGCAAGGATCCGTTCTACATACAAGTCCATAACAACGATCGCTTTTGCTACTAAATAAGAGTAAAACACCAGCCACCCTTTCTCCAAATCCATTAACTAGTTTGCAGACAGGCAGACAGTGCTCTTCCCATTCCCCCCCGAACCATTCACCGCTGTTAAACTTTTATTTAGCAAGGGAAAGTCCATGAAACAATTCTGGTTAGTTCATTTCAATAAGAAAAGAAAATACCTTTCCACCTTCATGTCTGTGTTTAATTGCTTGTATGAACCAGCAAATGGCAGCTTACAGGGAGCTGAAGTGGGGCTTTTCAGCGGCTGCTGCTGACTCAACATCAAAGAGTCGTCCAAAAATAGTTTCCTTTCCTATCCAGGCAAAACCATGCAAGGCAGCCTAATTGGACCCTAGCCGAACGTTGCTCCGTCAGCCCCGGGGACAGCAGAACTGAGCATGCAGATCCACGCGGTCGTCAGGAGCTGTGGCCCGGAGGTTTTGTTAAAGCCCACATGCATAGAGACAGGTACCCTTTTAAAGCCAGAACCCCGAATATTAGATGCAGATCCACTGCATACCAGGATTCAAATCGCACCGTCTGGTCTTCGACTTGCCTCCTGGATTAATTGAGCTCTCCTTCTCCCTCTTCCATCCATACAGCTGTAATATACAGCAACAGGTGTTGGATCCTTTCCGAAGAAAATATCAGCCAATCAAGGAGACGCTGCTGCGGTTTCTTTCGTAAAAGACAAGGAGGTTGTTTTGCCCCGTGGAGATAACGGCAGAAGGAAGAAATAATTACGTATATACAAGGCAGGGCCAGTGCTATTTATGGTGACCATCTTAGGATCTGCTTCTGAATTAATGGCATTCAAAAGGGAAAAAGTTTATTTATTTTTATTATTATTGAAATTTCTAGCTATCTCCATAGTACGGAAAGCTACAATCAAAGAAATAATATTTGGATGTAGTAAAACATGTGAATCGAAGACACTGTGGCTTGTAAACCACGTTTTCTTCAAAGCCAACTTAGAAAAGCTCAGAGGCTCGTGTCAAAATGATCTTCAGGACTTAATAGCAACATCCTACCCTAGGTGGCATTGCTTCTTGGTCGTCAATCCAAGGAAGAGGAAAAGGATCTCTTAGAAGGAGCCTGTTCTTAAGAGGACAAACAGATCATTAGTACTCAGGGTAAACCGGGGGGGGGGGGGATTCTTTGATAGTTAGAGGCACAAACTGGTGAGTGATGGGTGCACTGACTGCATGGCAATTTGCCCGCCTGGTAAGAAGATTATGGATATCACACACTGGTAGGAAGGAGCCAATATCACTAAAGATGTGAAGGAAAGTTGTTGTGGGATCCTGAAAGATGAATGAAGATCGCTGGAGACAGAATGCTGAACTCCAGGACGGCCAAAGTTCTATATTTGTTCTATGCCAGTGTTTCTCAATGTCAGCAGCTTGAAGATGTGTGGACTTCAGCTCCCAGCTCAGATCTTGTCCAAGGCATGAAAATGACTGAACCAAATGAAAACAGTGACTATAACCCTACTAAATTCATAAAATCGCTATATCATGAAGCTGGGAA